CATTCTATGGTGGCACTCATCTGAATGGCTTACCGGTACATGCACATTCTATGGTGGCACTTATCTGTGCGTATGTTGAAGTTTACAACAAGATGCAAAATGCTCTCATCATTTTCCATCTCAATGAACGTGTTGGTGGTGGGTAATTCCAGAAATTAGGGGTCCATTTTTTTCCTGTCCCTGTCACATGTGACATGATTTTGTAAGCTCAGAACACATTTTCTAATTTCCAAGAGTGACGAATTAATGCAAATGACCTGCCAAATAGTAATAGTTTGAATTCAATTCCGGTGATATTTCCATGTCAAATAACAAAAATTACACCAAAATGTCACCCTTTTGGGCCCCTAATTTCTGGAATTACCCTAATACTGTTTGGTCAGTTAGCTTAAATTTTATTGTTTAAATTTTTACATTTGTGAGGAGCCTGCTACATGGATGTTCCTCTAAATGTACATGGTGCTAGAACATAAATATGCAGCTATGCAACTGATGCTGTTTTCTCTTGCAGTTAACAGATTACTGGTATCTCTTTGTTGTTACTTTCTTCAGAAACAAGGCAAAGAGAAAGGCCGCATAAACTTCAGTAATATCAAGGTTGTGGAGGAGGTTGATGATTCTGCCCTGGAGAAGCCCAATGGTATTCAGGTACATGTACATGTTGGCTGTCTAGAGGTTATGAGTACAGGGCCTAATGTCATGGCGCTGCTTACCCCAGAATTGCCCGCTTACAATCTCCATTCTATACTAACTATGCTAGCAGAAAATTCTGTGCCAACCTTTTAAGCACAGAATCCTTTAGTGACAGGATGTACGCATGCACCCAAGCCCAAATTCCTCGCTTACCCGTGAAATACGTTCGCCCTTGGCACAGAATTTTCTGCTACGGTAAGCGCCAGTTTTTTGCTTGCGGTTAATAGCGCCTTGAAATTGGGCCCAAATAACCTTATTATCCTCTAAAAATATGCGTATCTAGTGTGATGAGCAAATGCAGTGTGTGAAAAGGACATGGCATGCAAAGTTCTGGTGTGTTCATCTCAAGCCCTGTTGGTTTGTACATATCACGATATGTTGCTACCTTATACCTGGTGTGGACTTGGGAACAAAAGATGTCTACATGATGCAGAAATGGAAGACGTTCTGTGGACCTACCCATGTCCCCAGGACATTTCCCCTTCTCTGAAAAAGAAGTTTAGAGACATTTGGGGGTTAGGGTCGTCTGTCGTGAGAGGAAGAGGAACAGTCAAGGAAACCTTTTACAAAAATCCAGCTGAAAAACATGTTCCCGATTCAAGCAAAATGAGGAGTTTCACCAAGTTTTCTTAACTGCATAAAAACAAAGGAGTGTCCACACTGGGTGTGTAATGTAAATAGGGGCGAGCAAGCCAGTGCACAAATGCTATGTATGTACATGTCCTCCACTTGTTCTGAAGAGTACATGTACATGTAGTTCACACACCATCGACAGGTCTCATACATATACATGTAGTCCTTACTACCCTCAAATCCCTCAAACTCCAACAGTAGGTTTTGTGAAGTTTTAGCTATTTTAGGACAGTACACTTGTACTGTACTATACATGTTCATACCCTGAACCTGTGCAGCTTCATTGAATGGAGGAACAAAGTCACAAAAGATCACAAAAGCCACAAAAGATACAGTTCTGCATAAATTGAGTTCACATATTGTACCTTACTTGTACATTTCCTCTCCAAAGAGAAATTTTCACCAGAAATTAAAAAAATTGTGAGCTGTGAAGTTGAAGTACTGATACATGTACATGTAACACATTTGGATGCAAGTCTGTTTGGTTTGAAAACTGGCTGCAAGGCGCTTTACTTCCTTAATTAAATTTGATTTGTGCCGATGGTTATCGTTTCCATCGTAATTGACATATATTTGTACATACTGTATACACACATGTGAACTTCACCCTCATGTACAGTGTACATGCATGCCAAATTTGTTTTTTTTGTTTTTGTAACAGCCAGTCATCCTATTTCAGTTTCAGTTCTTGAAATTTACTTGTTTCGTAATGAAAAAGAGATGAAATGAATACAAACATGCACGTAAATGTACATATACTGTAACTGTACAAAGTACATGTACACAGTCTCTCTCCAGGTTCAAGTACCCCGCGGTGCGCGTACATGTATGTTTACACCACTATTGGCTGTATTGACAACTGTTGATGACTTGTTCAAGTCATACAGGATTGTGCATTTCATCATCATAGGCAGAACAGCGGCATGTACATGTACACATGTGTATCATGTGTGAACTATCTCATTAAGGTTTTTTCTAAAGCTCCACAGCCCAGGACTGCTATGTATTGTTTCAATGCGTTCAGCATGTGTAGTGTCCCTTCACTTGTCAACAGAAAGACTGTTGTGTCAAACATGCTCGTGGCTGGAATAATAACATGTACATGTACTATCGGAAGTTGTGCTTGTTGGCCAAATAAAGCATGATTACAATACAGTGTATACAATTTTGTATGCTTGTCCAGGATGTTCCTTTATGAAAACAGATTTGATTTCTTTTCCTTTTAATCTACATGAAAACTGTACGTGTGTGAATAGCACAGGACACGGTGTAGTTTGTATGTGTGAATCAAGCGTAATGTCATACAGTACTAGACATGCATTAAGACTGTGCATGTATGTACATGTATTTGCAGCGAAAGCAAATACTGAACATGTACTGTACCTACATGTCGGCAGTATTGTGGCGTATAATCAATTCTGCTAATTCGCAGAAGTTTAAGGCAGTCAACTCATGGGAAATTCACTGGAAATGTTTCATGGATCAAATTTTGTTCTCTTTTGCATTCGCCTTAGGAGTTAGCCAAACCTCAGGAACGTATTACGATATTTAACCGTCCTGAATCCTCGTGTAGTTGTAATCTTTCAGACACTCATGGGTAAAGGGTAAGAAGAGTGCAGCAGGTTTATGCATGCTTGCAAGAAAAGAGACGTTTCAGCAAATCTTGGTACATCAAAGCAGACATGCCGATACAGAGCCGAAGAAAATTTTCTCATGAAGATATTTTATGCAATGCGTAATTTTATTTGGTTTATTTGGTCACAGATATCTTATGATGATTACACATTATACTTCTTTGCGTCGACTAAACAAGAGCAGAAAGAATGGTTAAGTGATTTACAAATAGGTAAGTTATACCGGTATTTACATTTAGTTGTCAGTAAGGCACATGTAGGCAATTGCTTCTCAATTGAAATCAGCCACTTACATGTACTGTACATTTTCCCATTCGGTACATGTTCTTTTTGGATATACTCTCAGTTTTTTCCTGTTGATTTCTGGCCTTGCTTGACAGCCTGACAAGGATAGGTATCATTGAATGAAATTGTTGACATGTGCGTTTGATTTCTTTTGCCTAAGATTTGCTAAAGAGTTTGTGAAATTGTCCAAGATACCTTAGCTCTAGTGAGTGCCAGCTGATTTGTCTGTGTTGGATCATGCAAAGACCCTGATGTCCTCAATATTGTCAACACTAGTCCGATTATCGTCACTTTTGTCAATGTCATAAGACTATCAACAAGCATGTTAACGGACTTGAGACATGCATTCTCAATTCGTTTTTCTTGCAGCTTCAACATGTCAGATTGACTGTTCATTACCCTTATGTCAGCTAGCATCATATTTGTCTCTGTCTTGATCGATTCATCTTCGCAGTTTGATTGCAAGAATGTACCATTGAAAGTCATGTTTTTGGTCTCCCCCACGCAGCTTGCAAAAATAATGTAACCTTGCAGAACCGATTTCACTCGGGCGTCCACAACACAAAGTGGTGGACGTGCTGTGAGCAGAAACACATGGGAGCTCCAGGCTGTAAGGATTCCTTCAAACACAGAGTCCAACCAGTTGCACAACCCCCAACACCAAGAATAGTAAGCTCTACAAATGCTGCAGTCCGGGCCCAATTTCACAGGACTGCTAAGCACACGATTTTACATGAACAGAGTCTTGGCATATTTCTGGGAAACCATAAGCAGTCAGCACAGCAAAAGCTACTCTTACCTTGGAGGAAAAATTTGCTTAACGCAACAGCAAAATTATGGAAATCTCTGTGCGTGCACAACTGTAAGCACAGCCATGCCAAGTACCACCATGAAATAATGCTTACAGTTAAAATATTTTGCTATGGTAAGCACGAGTTTTCTGCTGACTGTTCAGCAGCGCCATGAAATTGGGCCCTGTTCACTTCGTTAATTAGCAATCTAAAACCTCAGCTCTCTTTCATCAGTACTATTATTCATGTATCTCAAAGGCCAGTCCATATTCAGCTCAAAACAGTGTTGTCAGTACTTTTGGGATACCAAGTATAGATTACGAAGATGAAATTACAGGTTACATAGAAGACCTCAGATGATTACTGTGTTGTAAAAATGCAGTTTCTAGGACCAAAGTAGTCAGTGTGAAAATGTGAATTTTCAGTTTGTACCCAACAAAACCAGAAATGAAATATTCATTTTTTATACAGTAAATACGGGAGATTCACAATAGTGCGCCACCAAGAGTGTGCAATGTGTTGGCCAATCATAACGCCCGATATCTCTCAACCCTTTCCAAATGTGCATTTGGTTGACAGATTTCGCGCACCGTGATTGGCCAATGCACCACAAACTCTTGGTGGTGCACTATTGTGAAACGGCCGTGTTAATAAAAGAAAAAAAATTAGGGAAAACTAATTTTTGTTGTTGGGCATACATGTTTGCATTACAGGTGCCTTTAAGGAGTTTGCAACGCATTGACCAATCACGGTGCACGAAATGTGCGACCCTTTCCAAACGCACATTGGGTCAACAGATTTCGTGCATTGTGATTCGCCAACACGTTTCAAACTGTTGGAGGCACACTGTTGTGAATCGACCATATTAACCTTGTTTTCAACCTTTGTTTCACTATTTAAATGGTGTTGTACTGCGTTTTTGGTTTATGCTGTCATTTTCACATTCATGAGCAAAACTGCAATGTCACTTCAGGGAGCAAAGCCATACACAAAAAAGTCCTGCAGTTTTGTAGATTTTGCTGGGCTAAATTTTCTCAGCTATGCTGATTCATTGTTGATTGTGGGCATAGCAATAAACAAGCATCAATCCCTTTCTTTGAAATGTAGATATTCTGGGTTCACAATTTTGACAGAAAGAGCCAAGCACTGAACTATGACTTCCTTCAATGACTTCACAGCAACAGCTGCCTCAGTTGTCCTGGAAAGCATGGATAATTTAAGTTATTTAAAAAGTGCACTTTTCAATGCGTTTAACCACAGAGGAATGCAAAAAAGTTTTCATACTTTGGCAAAGAGTATAGAGTTCTTGGAAAAATTGTGTCTCAGAAAAATTGATTGCAGTTGCACTTTAAGCTTTATTGTAACACCCTTGAAATATGCTTGTAGTTTGCAATTTTGTAACCATATGATTTAATTTTTCCATTAATGTTTCAATGATTTTCACCTCCAAATATTTAATTTCAAAAACAAATATTTAAATATGCTGTATTCGATCAAATGTCCAAATATTAAAATAATTGCCACAACCCTGCAAAACACTGTAAAAGAAATACTGTTCAAGATATATTGTTATTTTTTAGGGCAAACAAAAGTCATAGGTAAGTGAAAAGATTTGTCAAGTTTCAACTGTTGAAATTGACAATTTTTTGGACATTGTAATTAGCATGTGATAACTTGAAGCTGAAGTTGTGTTGGCCCACGTGTATATTTGAATTTTTAGGATGTATATAAATGCTCATAGCAGTTGACCTTGATTGTCTCAATAGGTTCAGCCTTCACTGAACATTCTTGCTGTAGATTAAAAAGATGCTGGGTCTGAGTTCTCAAATAGTATTTGATTTGTCCACCATGTTGCAGGCTCCCAATAACAGCAGCAGTCTTCCCACTCACGCCCTCCGGCAACAGGGCCCTGCCAACGGCCAGCTGGGGGCCAAGCAGAGAGGCTACCACAGCACCAACGCTGTGACCCACAACCACCTTCCCAACCCTGCCACTTCCATGTCTTTGCAAACCTCCCCAGCTTTGACGCAGCCCCATCAGCTGAACAGATCTCACCTCCCGCTTCCCAGACCACCTCCTGTGGTTCCAAAGGTAAGGCCAGATATGGAAGACCAACTACAACGGTTTTAACAGTTTTTAAAATTAACTATTATTGTGTTTAGTGAACGGTGTCTTCCAGTTTTATGAAAAATTTCCACAATCTGACCTCTGGCGACGCTGTTGAGAAAAGAAATTTGTACGATATAATTCCAGAAACTGATATCTGTGGTACGACTGGTTCCGCTACAAACGTACATGTGCATAAACATGGAACAACATGTGCATGTACCGGGGATCGATCTGTGGGCTGGGCCTACTGTGCTGCATTATTTCTTTTCCATTCAGAGTTTGTGCTCCTTTCTTTTATGATGTATAATAATGCTGAAATTGTGCGTCATTGGTGGATGTACCAGAAATTCTGCGAAAGAACGGGGATTGAAATTCTTCGAGTTGCTGAAGAATGAAAGCATTCTTGAAGTTTGTGCTGTCGTTCGCAGCTATGCGTGCTATGCATGCCTAGAGCACATGCACTGTAGTATTTCCTCTGCTTGGTAATGCATCACAGAAATCAATATACATTAGATGCTAATGAGTCGTGACGACATGTCCATTTTTGGAATACCGGACTGGACTTGCAGGAGAAATGGGTACTAATTGGTATCAACCCAAAAGGAATATTGCAAGGGAGATATTGATATGTGCCACTGTAATTAGACTTAGCTCTTCTGAATAAGATTCAATATGAGCAAAATTAGCATCATTGGAGTTGGTCTTAAGAAATGCTACCACTGCTTCCAGTCACCTAATCAACCCTATTTTTCTTCTGAGTCCAGAAGAAATATGAAGAAGAATATGAGTCCACAAGTTTTTTATTTTGCAATTTTTAAAATAGATGATGACTGAAACCCTATGCCAAAATTGTCCACAAGTAACGTACATGTATATACACACACATTCTGTAGTTCTCCTTGGTTTCTCGACAGAGTAAACTCAGGAATGTTGATGTCATTTTTTTTCATTGTAGAATCATTATGCTACACCATTTTTATCCCCCACGGCCGGTGCTTGCTGGTCTCAGACAACTTTAACACTGTTTGTCATGTGCACCACCACACTCGTCCAAGGTCTGCTCATCCAACATACCTTGCATTTGTGCAAGATCTCTGGCCATGTGCTGCTAGAGTGTTTCCTAGTCTTTGAACACTAAGCTCTTTCGATTTTGATCAGGGTCAGATCAGTGGTGCATGGTAGATTTGAAGCCCCTGAACAAATCTTTCTTTCAAATGTAACAGTGGAACAGTGGAATTGTTTCCATGCTTGGGCATGTTGAGAACAGACAGTATGGTCACTGCAGTCATGACGTGTAAGAAAAGTATGAACTAGATTTGACAATATGGAAGTGTTGCGCTCAATGGACATTAAAATGGCAGACATGCAGAAAGATATTGAATAGTAAACAAAATATTGGTGCCAGTCTAATGACCTAACTGTTTTGGGGGGTCATGGCTGGTGTCAAATTAATTAACCCTAACCCTACATAATACTACAAATTACTACTTGTGGTAAAATGTAGTAATCAGTGCTGCCGCTTGTAAGAGGGCATTGTTCTCTGAAGCCGTAAAATACAATAGAAAAGACAATGTACCATACAGTGCTGTGGCACTATGAATGCATGGCTTTATTGTTTTCTGTACGAGTAACAATGGAAGTAACCTAGCCAGAAGTAGTAATCTGTAGCGCTAGGTCCTTCAGGCTCAGGCTACTACTTAGTATTTTGTGGTACTGAGTAGTGTAAGCCAAACAATATGCTTGGCGGTTAGGGTTAATCGAAACGAAATGACACGAAAACAAACGAGTACATGCAGGTATTATTCTTAGACCACAGTTTGTGGAAGGCTCTTCGCATCATGAAATGGTGGCACAGATATTTAGGCAAAGCTAGTATTTACATGTAAACACAAGTTTGTGTCTCCTACTCCAACATCCAGGAGGAAATGAGAATACCTTAGAGGTCAAAAGATCGGATTTGTACACTTCCTCTTTTCAGTCCATGCTAGGAAAGCTGTGTTATTTTTAAGTTGGTTGGACAGCTGTGTCCTGTTCTGTTGTATGTACATGTACATGTGAAATTTTCAATCACATGTGTATTGAATTATCAAAACTTCATATTGGGAATGATACTGAAAATATTGGCGGGTTTCAGATTAATAAAATCAATAATTCATAGTTTCATATTTACCTGATTGTAACATTTGGTATAAAAAATCGAGGGCATCTACGGGTGGCAAGTTGTGTCTGACAGGAAATCAAAAATATGTGTACGTGTATTATGATGATGTCATCCTTCAGTGGAATTTCCAGGGGGGAGGGGAGAGCACCCCCAAAGAACTTGGCTCACCCTTGCTGATTTATTTTGTGTGTAAAACTTGGCATGAATGTAAAGACACTCTTATCAGTACAAAGTCAAGGTTTCCACTCAGTGTGACATACATGTACATGTTAAGGGTGTGAATTTACGTTTAATTTGAAACACGTTTAGAAAACTTTCCCATACCATTGAAAGGTTTAAACGAGTAAACATACCACCCTTACCACATTGTCATGGTAAACTTTAAGCATAACAAATTGTATACAATGTGAATAGTTGACACAAATTTCCGTCAATGAATTCATGGTTTTCCTTTGATATGACTGAACAGTAGAGTGTTCTGAAAATCAGATTGTATTTTGCAGGCATCAGTTACAGTAAAAATGAACACCAGACTGCATCAATTAAAACGTCAAAGCTCTAAAAGAGGTAGTGCCATTTAAACCTTTGGGAAAATCTGTAAACGGATTTAGAACTTTGTTTAAATGTGTAAGCATCCCACCCTTAATACGTGTACGTGTATATGGTTTTGTTGATGTGGTCATTTGAAGTTGAAGGCCACACGCATGCCAGCCTGCTTTCAGTGAGCGCGGCAGTGAGAAATGATCTTTGGCTGACGTTTCTTGGAAAAATGGGCACTGCGTAAGATTTTCACAAAAAGGGTGTTAAAAGGACTGCAAATACATGCCCACCATGTGATGACAGTGAACTTTTCAGTCACTCTTTTCCGTCACCCAAGTATAATAATATTGTACATGTGGAATAAGTAATTGGCCCAGTTACATGCACAGTCCAACTCTGATAAGGAGAGCACTGTTTGACACAACATCCTAAAAAAGAGACCTTTTACAAGTACGTGTGGGTCCCAAGTTTTTGCTAACCGGTACATTCTGTCATTGATAATGCAAGGTACCTGCTATAACAAGGTACTTTGTGAAGTGGCAAGGACCCTTTGAAAATGTTCCAGGGTGATACATGTATGATTTGAATTTTGTGTCTCATTGAATTGCCAGCTCTCCCGCCAGTCCTCTTGGTACTCTCACTGTAATTCTCAGAGCTTATTCTGAGACAAGCTCCTTTTGGGGGGGGGGCTGGAAAGGAATTTTGTAGAATAGGCATATGCCATGGCAACAAATCTCAGGCTGCATTTAATCAATCAGAGGGATAGACTTACTGATTTGATTTTAGTTTTAAATGTGGAACTATCCGTCATCTTCTGCAGGTTGTGACAAATGCACTGTATGCATGGCCATCGTCAAAGTGAATTCACTTTCATGAAATCAAACCAAACCAAAACACAAGTAACAAGAGTACCGGAAATGGACCTATTGAAAGTAACATTCAAGCCGACGCCCACATATACTGAGATATATATATAGAGAGAGATCAACTGCATGTGTAGTTGATCTGGTTGTGAAGCATGAGAAACATTTCTGGTCAAAAAAGGATTTAATTGTCATTGACCAAAGACATTTCTCTTTGTACAAATGTTTTCTTGTTGTAAATACAGAAAGAAACTTCCAATGTCACTGGCAAGTGTCACCGTTCATCAGCTTTAGTGGTGACTCCCAGGTTCTTTCAGCCAAACTAGCGGACGAAATAATGGAGTCAAGAATCTTAAATTCCTTTTTTTTTATATTAATACTATATTTACAACTTGTGATGTTACTCTGTATTTACAGATATTTACAATGAAATTAGATATCACTATAGTCATTAATGTTATTACCTTTTACCCAGGTAATTCTGAGTAAAATTTAATACAAGTTCTTTAAGCCTTAGGCTTGGAGAGTGGCAGAGTTTCTTTTCCTTTAAACAAACACTGACATGAAAGTAATACTTAACTGAATAAAGTAAACCCTTGTTATCTTCAGTGCTTTACAAATAGATGGTACATCTCGTACGTTCAAAGGTTGAACTCAGGTGGTCTCTGGATTATGTCCACCTCAATAACTTTCAAACCTCAGTATGATCAGTGTGAGAACGGCCATCTTAAGCAAAATAAATTAATCAACAATCTTTGCAAGATTTTCTGGTCAAATCAGTGACATTGTGCAATAAACTTGTTCTATTTTCACTTACTTTCTTAAAGAATACTTACACAAAATTTTGTCATAAGTTCTATAAAGACGTCACTTTTGTAATAAACTCAATTCCCATTGCCTTCTCTATCTTTAACACATTATCCAATATATAATACTATAATGTTCAACTTACGGGTATGTTCAACAAAAGTCTGTATAATTCTTTGATGAGGTGTAATATCCTGGCTTTGTGTTTTAAAATGTGAAGAAACCGGTCATTGATTTAGGACAGATATGAGCTCTGATTTAGCCAAATCTTGGCCCGATCGCACCGTGACTGATTTCTCACATTCTGGTTGCGATCACCCCCTTCTGTTCGCGGGGATCTCAGGTGATGTTGGTACTGGTATCTCAGTACTTAACACACACACACAATTCCGCTTTTGAACTTGAATGTTCCTTAGTGACGTTAAGTATCTTTCTGACTTTTTGCTGAAACACTCTTGCTAAGGTATCCACCTCTTTAATTTGTAAATCAGCACAACTAAAGAGATGTACCAAACACAGCAAGCAATGACTGAAACATGTTGAACAAAAACCCATGGCCGTTAAATTACATAAGTACCTTAGCAACCGACAGAGCGTCTCGCAATCACCGTGAAACACCCGGCAAGGAATATTACGGACAGTGTGATCACAGAGCGTGAAAAGTAAAACGTATTTCATTGGTCTCCGACAGCTGTCGCGGGAACCGAACCATTTTTTGGTGGGATGTACAAAATTGCTGTGACAGCAAGTGACTGCATACATTCTTGCTTTTACATGTAGAAAGAAGATTTGATCGTCATTGCCAAGTTTGACTATGAACCCATGGAGGAGGTGGATATCCCACTGGTCCGAGGAGATGAATACACCATCATTGATAACAGCAGGGAATACTGGTGGAAGGCCAGAAACAAATACGGGTAAGATGTTCTTAGTCTGTCACATGTTTCCTGAGCCGGTCTGTTCATTCCATTGTTCTTTCTTCTTTTCATCTCAGCATTTGTTTGGTTGACAAATGGAAACTGTCCTTTGGAATGGAGGACAAAAGTAACACTTTCAAGGTCGTTAAAGTTAGAGACACATGTAAATCTAAGCCTCTTCCAGGGAGGCTAGCACTCCAATTTGTTGGTTGGACAGAGCCGCACACTGGATGATTGCGTACAGTCCCAACCCTCGGCAAAGATCAAGTACAAAAATTGTCGCGTGTTTCCTGCTGCACAGGGGAAGATTCACAATTTCTGGCCAGTTTGCCAGGAGTGAAGTATTTGCCAGAAGAAATTCTTGCTTATTACTTGCAGTGGGATTTGTAGTCTAGTATTTTTATGTAGCTCTGTTTTGTGGCTGTTTTTGTTTAAGTTTGTATTTATGCCGATGTTTGTTTCATTGATAGAAATGTGGGGTATATTCCCAGCAACTATGTCGAGGAGAAGAGCAAATTCGCATCAGGCTTAGAAAAATTTGAGTGAGTATCACTGACACTTTTTGTTACTTACAAATGTATAGTGGTTTATATGTCAGATCACATCTTATTCTGTGTTGAATATCATTAATTATGTAGCATGGGAGGGCATTGTCACATGTTCTGGCATTGTATATTCCTAGGGGCAGTTGATGGTATAAATGGTCAAGCTTAATCTAAGTCTGTTGCAGTGGTTGTGTTTACAAGCCTCACACTTCAGTGGTTTGTTTCCATGTGGTAGGCCTTTCCTGTATTTAGTGGATAAATTTGGTTTTGTTCAGAAAGTCAAAACCACGATATTGTTCCCATGACATTTTTGTCCCCATAATATATACATTTCAGTACATGTAGTCCCTACAGCCCAACAAGAAGTATGTGCACGTGCATGTGTGTTTTCATACATGTACGTGTATAATGTCTGGCAAGCCCTTGTCTTGTACATTGTTGCTGTAGCAACAATCACTCAGGGCCTCTGAGTGCTGCAGGAGAGAAAGTTTCAGTGAAGAATACACGTCTTGCAAATATTGTACAGATGATTCCTGAAAGTCTTTCTTCACACTCGTACTCTGCAGCCAAAAGTAATGCCTTTTGCAAGTAGTTAAATATTGACAGATTAGTGCAGTTGACATCGTACTGTGTATCTTAGTAGAAACAAAGTTTGCTGAGCAAAAACATCGGTGCTTTCTAGAGATGTACAAAAGTTCTGTGCAGACCTGGCAGACTGGACCAAAATGTAAAATACTCAACAGAAAAGAAACCCAAAATGAGGTGTTTTTTTTTCCACTGAACTATTTGTTCTCAGGTGGTACAGCGGTAAGTGGAATCGACAACGCACTGAGCAGGAGCTGAAGGCTGAAGGCAAGGAAGGCTGCTTCATGGTTCGAAACTCCAGCACCAAGGGACTGTATACGCTCTCTGTCCTCACCAAAGCCATGATGTAAGTCTTGTCAGACACTGCAAGGTTGTCAGGATGGGGGTTAGTGGTAATGAAGGTGTAAAGGTAATACAGGTGCACTTTTGTGTATTTCGTCGGTGGGTCATTCCATGAGGTTGGGGCACAATTTGTGAGAGTGTCAATCGTTACATGGGTTCCATAAAAATGAACAGCTATTTCCCTGCATGTGGATTCCAAATTGACATTGTTATACGTCTTGCAAGGCTGAACACAGAGGTGTGTGTTATTTTTACGGAGTAAATGATGTACTGTACAAGTCATGACAGGTGGTAAAAGTTGCCAACGAACATATAACAAGGACACCGTCACAAATCGTGCCCCAACCCCATGGAATGACCCTGGTACATGTGCACAGTCGCTTCATATCAAAGGCAAGGATTCCGTCTTTGAGGCAAAAGGCTGATTTCGGGTTGTTTTGTTCAAAATACTGAGCTAGTTTCGGGCCTTAAATAGACCCATTTAAGGTTGGTTCTCTTGTTTTACTTTCGGGCTCTAAAAGAGAGCCTGACTGGAATCTGTGAAAATCCCAATCCCAGCTGTCAGGAGATGTTTCAAGGCGACAATCTTGATCTCTGTTCTAAGCTCAAGGGTGAGTGCTTGATGCCCTGTGTACATTGAAGTAAGTTATCCAAGATGAGCATTTTAGGGCTTAACTAGAAAAACACAGTCGACCTGCTGTTCTCAAGTCATTTTAAAAACTTGATTGTGGCATCTGTAAGATTAAGGGCAATTCCACACAAAAGTGGAAATTGGTCACACTGTTACCATTTTCACTGTAATTTGTAATGGATGAACAAAGGCAAGCTTTTTAAAAAATAAAATTGGAATTAAAAGCTATTGGTAGTATTTATTATTTCCCTTTTGTAAACTCCTTTGAACTACAGATATTGTAGGTGACATTGCGATCAAGTTTCAAAACCCTTAATTCTAACTTCCTGCAACTCGGTCGCCACAAACACTCCTGTGCAATTGGTGCCTCTTCCCTTGTCCATTCAGGCACGGACGTGATGACTCTGTCAGCCACTATCACATCAAACAGACCGCAGAAAACCAGTACTACGTCTCTGAGAAGCACTGCTTTAACTCAATACCCGAGCTCATTGAGTACCACCAGCACAACAGTGGGGGTGAGTAAGGTTTTATTGCACCTCTTTCCCTCACGGTGATTGATTCCTGCAAATTGAGGAGTAGATGCGTCAACCCACTTTCAAAATCTGGCTTTACGTTTATCCTGAAACTGTAGGGCTGGACTGTTCCTAGTGAGCTCCCAGCAACAAAGGGCTCAAAATATTTTTTGTTCCAGCAACTGTTGAGAAAATAGTTAGAACTTTTCTGATCATGAAAATATGGCACGTACAACCCATGCACTCATGGGAACCCATCCCATGTCTTGCTGAAAGCTTGATCTGTAGCACAACTGTCTTGTGCTAAACATGTTCATGTCAGTCAACTGCTGACAAACACAGAGAGTGAAAACTACAACCTGAGAAGATTCCTAAGGCAACACGTGGCACACACGTTCCACGAATGTTACAGCGCACTCCATGTGTGCTCATGTCATGTTCAGTAGTCCTGCCAGCAATGGTTTTTGGTTTCACCAGGGTTTTCACCATACTACTTTGCTTGTAACACTCAAATACTACATGTACTGTATATAGCGAGCATTTTTGAAACAAGTGGATTCAGCCTAGACTTCATATTTGCTGGTTCCAGTCACAGCTTGACCGTGTGGTTTCAAACGCTGCTTCAAAATGGCTGGAACGTGTGAAACCAAAGTCTGAGCTGAATCCACTTGTTTTGAAAAACGCTCTTAAGTAACTGTATGGATTAGGTGCCGTTGAAAAGAAACACTGGAAGATGGTGTGTTCTCAGTATTGCAGATGTTTTCTAAACACCCATTGCCACCTGTCGCTCGTAAACGTGAAATATAAACAGTCCAGCCTCTGTCTAAATGATATATTGTACTCTTTTTAAAAGGTTTGGTAACCAGACTTAGAAACCCGCCGGGCCACATTCCCCCAACCACGGCCGGTCTGGGATCGGGCACCCAGGAGGTCAGCTGGAAGGATCTGACCATTCTCCGTGAGATTGGCAGCGGGCAGTTTGGTGTGGTTAAATTGGGCAAGACCAAAAAGCAAAACCGCTTTGTGGCCGTCAAGATCATGCGAGAGAACGCCATGTCCGAAGAAGACTTCATCGACGAGGCCAAAGTCATGACGTAAGACAACTGTTCAGTTTGCATGTGGCACCGCTACAGTGTCATCGTCAGTTGTAATGCTAATGATTTTCATTCAAATAGTTAAACCCACTGTGGTGTGTTTTGTTAAACCCAGAACAGTTCCAAATCTAACAAGGTGTAATTTATACTTGACCAGTGGGTCAGGGTTAAATCCAAAAGTCTTTCCTCACTGCTGTAAGTAACCTGAAGTCCAATTATCTGCAATGTAGAAATTCCCATCAACCCCTGTGTAGACAATTGAAATAATAATGATAAACAATCAAGAAGCTGGTGTTTTCCTCTAATCATGTAAAATTGTTATCTCATTTTGTGCACCATGGAGTCACATTTGCATTATAGTTTGTCTTTTCTAATGCGATGCTGTTGTACAAATGAACAATCTTTACATGTGCCGGTAAATTTTGTCATTCTATTTCTTCCGCTTTGCCCAATAGGCAACTCCAGCATGAGAATCTAGTGCAGCTGTATGGTGTGTGCAAGAATCCCCTCTGTATCATAACGGAGTACATGTCAAAAGGTGAGTCATCATTGGCAGATCTCCGCTCAAGGACCTGCTCGAACTCGGCACTAAATCAGATTAATTTCAGTGCAAATTTGGGGTTTCACTGCATATTTTGTACACCGCAAATTCATGACAGTTGGGGACATTGCAACCTTAGCAAATGTTGTGCCGAATGCTTTATGTCATCAAATTTTCATTTTGTGGTTGCATTCTCACTAAAGCATGAATGATGCTTTAACTCAATTCAGGGACAAGGAAGCTGCAAGAGGGCATCGCCCCCTCTTCCGTCCCCCCCCATTTGAAATTGAAAATAAATCAATTTTGTGTGACTTTAAATAGGCATCAGAAGTACATTTAAAAAGTAGCATTGGGGGGGGAATTTAAGTCATCCTACATCATTTTGAACGGTGTCTTTTTTTGCAGGCTGTCTGCTGTTCCATATACGGAGACATCAGGAGTTACTCCATGAACCCCATATCCTCTTGGACATGGCCATACAAATATGTTCAGCCCTTGCCTATCTAGAAAGGAAGAAATTCATTCACCGAGACCTGGTAAGAAAAACTACCTCAGAAATCACCAATTGTCCTCTTTGAGACTTTACAAATGTGCAGCCAAAAAGCCAGATCTAAAGTCTGGTTGTTTGAACTGTTGCTTTAACCTCTTTGCGCAGGGGGCATTTGTGAATGTTGGTGATGCTGGAATGGGATAATTTTCTTTTTTTTCTGTTTTCAAAAGTTCTTTAACAATTCACATCTTCATTTACTGGACCTTTACACCCACACAAAGGACTGTTTGGTTGCTACTCTAATCTGACAGACAACATCTATTGATGTGGAGTATTTCAGCCAGGCTTGGTGCCTTGTAAAAAGAGCCCAGATTGTGCGGTTTTATATAATTTTCTTTCGTTCACGAACCTGGCACAGTGCTCTGCTGACCTCTTTTCAATAGGGGCCAGATTAGCGGGCCAGATTAGCGTGCAGCGGTACTGTGTGGCTCATCGCTGCACTGATGGAGTGCTTTTGTCCCTGGTGGTAATCCGCTTTCACTGAATGCCCCGAGCCTTTGTATACTGTTTCAAAACAAGGCTGGATTATCTCCACGATTGAGAGTGAAAAAATGTTGGTAATGCCCAGCAGCCTGGTCTTTTGTTATGAGGGCCGTCTTTTGTTACAAGGCCCAGTTCCCTCTGTCCGATTTCAGAGACCCTGGCCATGTGTATAAAGAATACAGTTTTCAGCATTTGTCCAGAATACTGACTTCCGTGTAGATGTAATAAACCAGCAATTGCCATTGTTTTCATTGCAGGCAGCGCGAAATTGCTTGGTAGGAGAAAGAAACACAGTGAAAGTTGCAGACTTTGGACTTACAAGGTAGATAATGAGCTTTCTTACTGCTAGGACTGCACCGAATATGAACATTTAACCCCCAAAATAGTCTGACATTAAAGTGGATGCATGGTAAGGGAAGAACATTCGAGAGGCGTCTTACCCACAAAAAATATCTGGCCAGGACAGAATCATTTTCCACGCACAATCCAATGTTGTTTATCATAAGTAGTAACAGGATGGTTTTTATGTTGGTAGAGAAAGTCCCTCTTTGTATAGAGCTATAGTCGACTCTGGTTAATACGAGGGCCTTGGGACGTACTAAATTAGTTTGTATTATCCGCACCTCGTCTTATGTAAAAGCTACCCTTCTGCTCAACGTATGTACATGTATCATTAATCGACCTTAGGTAAAGCGTACATGTGTACAAGTATACATAACATTTTGTTTAAAGGCATGTACATTTTGTTATTCGAATTTGATTTTAACAAGTTTGTTTATAAGAGTGAAGATGCAGTTTAATGAATAAAGACTTGTAATAAAGAATGATTATAAAATGTGAGAACAGAGGGCACATAATTTCCACCAGTCATGTCGATTCAGAGCGATGCTGTATCACACGTCCCTGACCCCGCATCTAACGTAATTACATTAACATTTCAGTTGGTATTAACCAACACCAGAGCTGCGCTTGTTGGGCATAAAACTGGGAGGAAACCAGCTGTTGGGGATGTGGACAGCAGAGGGTGATTATATCGGATTTTACTTTGGAAAGGCGTGTGGGTTTGGTGAAAAATTATTAGCAAGGGATGCACTTTTTTCTTTAAAACTTGTGGATGTTATTTTCTTCAACATTTTTGGACTGAAAACCATGGTTTAGTCATGATTTTCTCAACTCGAGAATTTATAGAAATGTCAAAATTGGAAGGGGTGATATTTTCATGTTAAGGTGGGGAGCAGATGACGATTTTTTGAAGGGGGGTGGGCAGTTTTTTGGGTCGGGTGTTTGGTTGTGGAACACAAGTTTTGTTAGTTTCCTGGGGACTTTGGTCTTGGGAAATTTTGGGGGGCGGGGAATCAAAAGAACGATTTCTTTTGCTCACCACTGTCCAAAATATCCTAGCACTTTTGGCGGCACTCGCTTGTTTTCAGGCAGTGCAGGAAAAGCCATGAAGAATTTCTGTGTTGGGTACAGGAACCCCAAATGCCCATTGCTCGTCTGTCTTGCAGCACCGGACACAAATGGCTTGATCCGGTGAGGGAAAACCGCAGCGCTATTCTACTGTATAAGCATAAATTACGGAAGCACCTTTCAAAATTGAATTAACTGGCTGATTGACAAGTTGCCTTCAAAAAAAGCTTGTGCTAAATAGGCAGATAACAATAGATTTGCACTCAGCCGTTGCGCAAAAAATGCTTGTCTTAACTGAACTCTTGTAACATCTGAGCTTGTATTACACATTTTTCCCTCATAAGAATGTGCACAATTCTTCTTACCCAAGGTCGTATTACCAAGAGAGTCAACTGTATTTTAAATGTGAAAGTAGGGAGCAGGAAATGGCGGAATGAAAATGCAAGATTTGACATGGACAGTTACTGAAATGTTTTTGTAAGGAGTGTTTTTCTTTCTGTTTGAAAAAGTTTCCAGGGAGATGCTTAGAACAATGGAAAAAAAAGATTAACCCTTTTGCAACATCCTCCCTGTTGAAGGTACGTCTTGGACGATGAGTACACCAGCACTGGTACCAAGTTCCCTATCAAGTGGGCACCACCAGAAGTCCTACACTTCACTAAGTTCAGTAGCAAGTCAGACGTGTGGGCCTATGGTAAGTCACGGAGACTGATTGTTATTCCTGCTGCATGTGGGCATATTTAGATTTGCCAAAGTCAATGAGAGTTTGGATTAAGCAGCGGAGGTAAAGTTGTGTAAGTCAGTGGACGGTAACCCAAATCTGGAAATAGCAACGTTTTCACGTAAGCAAAACATACTTATACTTGCCCGAAAGAAGAAATTACTTGTCCCAGGCAAATACAAGCTGTTTTTGTATTTCTTCTACGCTACACATGTCTTTAAGGGATTATTGTCATTTTTTTATTTTTATTCTTATTTCTATTTTTCCCCACAAACCAGCATTTTCCACATTCTACCCCGAATTCCGTGATTTCTACAGATTTTCCACTAAGCAGAGAACTCTGGACCTTATGCTACAGGTTTTAAAGCAATACTGTTTTTCGTGTGTTGTTGCTTATCAATAACAACAAATAGCAAGTAGATCGACCTTAGCTGTTAAGTTTTCATGACTGTGTTTCAAGACATCCCTTTTTGAATCGTGGTGTATCTAGTTTTCAAGTTTCAAGGTTGGGGGAGGGGTAAACATGGAGAGGTTAAAAAAAAGAACATTTTAAATGGCAGTTTCCTATTTTCTGGATATGCCATTGCTGTAGAGGACTATTTGGTGAGCAACTTTATGCAGCTTATGCGTATTGTATGTGCTTCATTGGAAACATACATAAACCTGGACTTAACGTTCCCACGGTCCGATAGACATGAACAACCCTAGAAAACATTTGTCCTGGAAAGTCGTGGAAAATTGGGGAAAAAATAAAGTGTCCTGGCATCCTTTTGTCAGACACAAGCCATGGAGCCCTCATAATGAAAGTGTACATGTAGACAAAGTATGACGTCGCAGTGTTTTAGATCTATAGATAAGTGTTGGCAACGCAAAAGGCATTTTCTTTTCTGTACATTTAGTGATTTTTGTTTCTTTTCACTTTAGTATACATGATTTGAGACGGGAAGGAATTTTGACTGAATGCTGCGAGCTCCTGTGAGGTGTGGCCTCTTTTTTGACACTCAACAGTTTTGTTGCGTTGGACCGAGTTTTATAGACTTTGCTATGGTGTAAGATGGGTACTTTTTAATTCCTGTTGTTTTTTTTTTATTTGTTCCAGGAATCTTGCTGTGGGAAATATTTTCCGGAGGCAAAACTCCCTACCCTCAGATGAACAACGTTGAGGTAGTAGATCAAGTCACCAGACAGCAGTATCGCATGGAGCAGCCAGCAATGTGCCCATCGTCAATGTACAGCGTCATGTACTACTGTTGGCACGAGGTAAGTAACAGCAACTCATTATGATAGATCTCTCTCACTGGATGCCATATTCACTGGAAAATTACAACCGCGTATTCAACACCATCAGGTGTGCATTTGCGCAGGGTGCAAATGTTCTATACACGCATGCATAATGATCGAATATCTTTGGAATATGACACAGCCGATGCACATCACGAAAATTTGAAGTCCAAGCTGCAGATCTGCACTTGGCAGTCTGGAGGAAGTGACATCATCTGAGAGAGCAGAATCACCCCCTCATTGGCTGAAAGAGCCATGTTGGTCAGGAGTTCTCACTTTGTTGGTCGCAATGCATCCGTAATGTGTGCATTTCATAGTTATTTGTGACCCAGTGAAGTGCAGTTCTTACCAAAGGAGCCTGTGAAAATTGTGCCTTCTCTTTGTCTAGCTCGAGGCTCTCAGGGAGTAATTCTAATGGGAGGGGGACCAGACTGCTTTTGTAGTTTCTAAACTCTCCGCTTTGTGTCTGCTTTTAACCCTATGTTAGGCTCCAGAATCATTTGAAATGGTCGCTATTGAAAACAAAATTCAAATACTCAACGAAGCTTTTTTTTTAAGTTTCTTTGAAACTGCCATGGACAGCTTCATGTAAAGAAAGTGAAGTTCATGATATTGAAGCATGAAGTCACCTCTGTGGTCTAGTCCACATGAGGTAGCTTTGGGTACTCAATTCCAACGGGCTGTAACTACACTGCCTCATCACAGTGACAAAGCCCAACAAAATGTGTTGCAGAGTCACTTCTGAGTTGAAGGCGGTTCAAAGAATCTTGCTCAGTTTAGATCAAAAGGGACCCTGAAATTATGGCGTCAGGGTGCCAAACTGAAAGATTCAAATGACAGGCACAATTTGCAAGCTGAAACAAAATCGCCCCCTCCTCCAAAAACTGCCTTTTGTCTTTTTTGGATACATTCCTAAGAGACCTCTGTACTGGTGCCCCGCTTTATTTGCATGTATGCTTTCCTATGGAGCTTCGAATCATTCATCCCCACCTAGAGCCGATGTACATCGGTACTCACAGGTAACACATACTGTGGGTGGTTGGTCTTGTCACCAGGTACCTGTGGGTGTCACTTTCTTCACAGTTTGGACAGAGAGGCATTAAACACTTGCCTTACGAGTTTCTAGTCAGTTTTCATGCACCTCCATCTTTGTTCACACTACCCAGGTTAGGTTTTAGAAAAGATAACCCAGACTGTCTAAATTTCCTCAACATTACCTGTGTCTCTCTCCAAAAAAAAGGTCTTTACAGTTTAGAAGCTGACTGGTTTAACTTTGTCGTTCCCAATGCCTGATTGCAGAAACCAGAGAAAAGGCCGTCCTTTGCCGACTTGATGCAGCTGCTGACGCAGTTGCAAGATCAAGAGAGCACTGATTTTGTACAGTGAGTTGAGGTGTTGCTCGAGGGCTACTTTTCCCTGTTCTGCATAGCTCCAGTCATCAAATGTTCTCCTCTTTACAAAGAACAGAAGAAACAATTTCTTCACCACATACTGTTCTGGAGTTAGTCTTCCAAAAAAAGTTTGTTTTTGTAAAGTGCTATGCATGAAAATGAAGGTAACCATGTGTTATTACAAAATATTGATACTTAGGTAAGTCTTTCACATAATGTGAGCAGATTTATTTGTGTGGATGCTTTGATGCGTCAACTTTAAGTCCAGCCCAGGGTTCTCTTGGCAGTTGTGGTTCCTAATGACATTTGTAAGTTGTTTTTTGCAAGTTAAAAAAAAATACTCATGTTTCCTGTTCATTGTTTTTGGAGGAAGCTCTGTTCTCTTCACCGAGAATCAATGCCGGATATGGAACATGTAGTTTGTTACCTCTGGGAATATATAATCAGGGTTATGTTGGCCGTCCTACCAGCCTCCTTGTGGCTGCTGTAGACCTGTAGATAAGCACGCTGCATAGCCATGTCCTAGCACAGCCAATCCTACTGCTTTGCTCGGGAGTGACGTGGGCAACTTTGTGAATTAGCTGGTTATACAAAAGTATATAACTCTCAGTGATTTGGCCAACGTTGTGATTCAAACATCAAATATGGGAGAGTCTGCAGGCAATTTGTCCAACAAATAGAGACTCTAGGATAGGAATGAAAGTTATCTTCAGTGGATTCAACATCAAGCATCAAACCTTACCTTCCTGTTTGAGATTTTGAGATAAGTAGAACTTTCCTCTTTGACAATTAGTTTTATCAGGCATTTTTAGAATTGCAAATATTGTAGAGGTGTGTCTCCTACTGAAAAGACATCCAAAACAAAACAGCCAAAAGCAGTTAAAATCCCTTGACTTGCATTAAGCAGTATTTTCTTTTGAGGAATCAACAGATGTCGAAGGTCTTATCAGTAAAAACAAAAAGTTGAGTGATCAAATTCATAAAACTTGTAGCAAAACGTCCCACTTTAACCTTGAATCTAATGGCCTCATTCATATGCTTGCCAGACACTTCTTCAACACTTACAGAGAAAATTTGTCCCTAGCTTATCAGTTATCTTATCCTTTAACCCTAACTGCCTAGGCCCTTTTGACTAGGATTCACCCTCAATCCTACAAATCTTCCAACTTGGAAAAAAATTGGATACAGCCTCAGTCCTCCAAAATCCTCTGATGTTTCTTGAATAAGTTCTCAGTGTGGAGGGGTGCCCACTGCCTCGATCCGTCATAATCCTCCGGCAGTTCCTCTCATTATGTTGAGCTAGTGTGAATGTCATCCTGGAGCAGTATTGGAGCTTTCACACGTAATGTGGGCATGACTTTATGCATGACTGAACATTCACAACACAGGGTCTAACCCACTACCTTGAGACAGTGCATCCTTTGCAATCAGCAGTGCAATTTTGCTGTGCAGCCTCAGTCCTCCAAAACCACCCACGGGATTTTGAAGGATTGAGGATGGTCAGGGTTAAGGAGACTAGAGTAACACCCACTAGCAGAATGATAATGCCAGATAACTAGTCCCTCATGACTTGGAGTCAGAGAATTCACAGTGCATGACAGTCACTCCTAACCAAGTAAGTAACATTAACACAGCAGCGTTATAGGCAGGAAACATTGCTGGTAGATATTGTGCACTGTGTTTGTTTTTCCTTCATGAAGCTCTGCATGCTTCTGGCAGGCTGAGCCATCAGTGCTGCATGCTGTATGCTCATATTGCAGGCACAGTTGATATTTTCCAAACAAGGACAGCATTTGAAACTCAAAAAACCTTCAATAAGAGAAAGATTGTTTAAAAAAATGCTTGGTGCAGAAAATGCACAAAAATGAGAGGAAGAGGTGAACTAATGCAGTTTTGTCTGAGAGCAAGGAAGTGCTGGACACTTGCAATCAGATACGGGAAAGGGATGTGTAATGTCTGTGATTTGTGAATATGCACGCTTCTATGAAAACTTCTGTCTATGGTACCTTGTTTCTCCTGCAGTTGACCCTCTCTTGGTATGGAATACTTACAGAGTTAGATTGTACACTAGGTACTGTAGCTCTGAAATTCAGGAGCCTAGGAAAAGTTTAAGGGCCTTTGAAGATACCGCAGTGTGCTTCTCTCTTTGACCTGTCAGTGTTTAGCAAAAACTTCAAACTAGCTTGTGCACAGCTCCTCAGTACAGCTTTCATGGCATCAATATGAAATGGTGAGGCTTCAGCTCTCCTTTGCACTGGGGCATCAATGTTGCGGCCTATGACCGAGTAGGGTCTACAGAATACTTAATTCAGATCAGCTTACTTACGGGTCTGGCAAGAGGGATTAGGAGCTGTCCCCGTGCAAGTACCACTCTGAGCGAAAGGTACACGTGTTGGATGCCTCATGAAATGACAGCATGCTTTAAATTTGCCAAACAGCATGTGTGCCTGAAGATTAAGAATTCTTGGGAAGTTCATTTGGGTGTGGGGCCGTCGCAGTGACTGCTTCTCACATTAATCTGAAGCAGTTTTCATTACATGTATTAATTTTGTCTGATTTCATTGCTGTCTTGTCTTAAAGATGTGCAGATAGCTGTCTTGTTAACGAGTTGAATGTTTAATTGCATTGCGCAGGATGTAATTTTTATTAAAATGTTTTTGGTTTCTTTGAAAATGTGGTTTCAGTGAGATCACAATGAGTGTTCCCATGGGAGAACAGGTACTTGTCAATTGATCCACAGCAGTCTATGAAACCTGAACTGCCTAAAATTCGCGCAGCTCTTTTGGCTCAAGCACACCTATGACTTATTGGTTGACATCTATATATACATTTTTTTTTTACTGCATGGCCCAGTTCCATGAATTGGTAAGCACGTAAACTATGCACCGAAATATTACCTGGTACAATTTGTGTGTGACTTAAAGCTGAGATGGGATGCAGTTGCATCCATCACATCATGGAGCTATTAAACACAAGGAGTAAGCATAGATCAAAAAGGTTCAGTGATGGCCACCGCCAGCACTGCCAGGACAAATCAAATTATACGCCGCCTGCAGGCTACAAGGAATGCTGGGAGTTGAATTTGCAAAGGATTGTGGGTACCGCACACGTGTGTCCGTAAACTTCTGCACATTCAACATGCCCGCCATCGAGACAGAAACCACAGTCATCGGAGACTTAAATTTCGATAATTTTAGTGATTGTTTGATATCCCAATGATAATGAAAGCCTGATACATCTTTACATCCAAAAAACATCTCTCTTAACTGTAAATAGAATTACTAACAAAACAATTTCTCCAAAAATACTCAAGGAAACTGAAAGAATGTTGGTAGTCAAGAGGAAAATGAAAAAAAAGACACAAAAACATGGGAAGACTTGTTGTCCTTTCTGTCATTGTCCACAACTGTTTGGGCAGGAAACCTTGCCGCGTTGTCAGCTTTCCTTTGCATTCTTGCGGCATGCTTGAGCCTTCTGTTTATAGAAATATCGCAGTTCATATTTGTAGTATATGCTCTCTTCCATCAGAGCCATTGAACGTCATAACTGACTTTATAACCGTCGGATTTTTACCAAATAACCACCGTGGAATCGGAATTTTCATGCGCATCTGTAGGGATCTTTTGCTGACTCTTTAGGACTACTGTAGAGAACTGCGCGTCTTCTTTGTGTATCTTTTACACCATTTACTTACTCCAGTATGCCGCAGCGAAACACAGTGAGTCTGTGGGTTACCAGCTACCCAGCGGTGGCAATCACTTTGTCCAAAGAATGTCTAGGGTAATCAACACTGCAGTCAGTGCCAGCACTTTGTCTATGGCGCTGACCAGAGCGGTTAATCAGATTACAGTCTGTGGGGACTTCGATCTAACTCCTTGTGTTTACTAGCTCCATGGTCACATTTACTCCTTGCCATTCATATCACAAACCCTCCCTTTCCAATTCGATCCAAAAGCCATTCAAAAAAGCTTTGATACAGCTCTCCACCTACTGTTACTTTGTGACTGGGTTTATGGATCGACTGTGGTTTTCATGTGACTGGAGTGGTGGAAAGATTAGGGGTATTTTTATTGGACAAGATTCGAATATGTTCTTTGTTTACCCGCCAGACTGTGATGTGAACTACATGTACATTGTGTTCATCTGAACTCCAGTCACTGTTCCATTTAATAAATTAATAAATATATGTGCTTCTTAATGGTGCAGAGTAATTTTGCCTTTTGTTGTACAGATGTTTTAAGTCCAGCAGATATATGGCCAGATGCCACAAATGAGTCTTGAAACCATATAATGAGGTAGTTGCATTTTAGTTTGCACTAGAAAGAGCAAAACTGAGCTCTGAGTTTTGATGTATCACTCAGTTTGTCATCCTGATGAGAAATGACATTATGTTGGTGAAAAAATGTCGAGGATTCATATTAATTTACACAGTAGAGGATTCTTTCTGAGGTCGTGACCTTGATTTTTCTTTTGTTTTTTTGTAACTCTGGCCAAAGAAAAATATGAAGTTGAAGTTCTAAAACCTGTGACGGCACAACCTGAAAGCAACTTTGCTTCTCGATTTCACATCCATGCCAACTTGTACCCTTTGATAAAAGTTAAAAAACATGTACTGAACCATACACAGAAATTAACATTCCAACATAACGGATGAGCATTGTTTTGGATATTGGTTATGGAAAAAGTTCTTCCACTTTGCAAAAAATGTTATTACTCAGAGCTGCTGACATTATTAATCTAAGTCCTTTTTTAATTCAACATGCAATCTTTTTTAATAAATTGGTTTTATTTTTGATTTTCTTAAATATGTTTGTAAATATTGGTATTTTCTCTCACTTTTAGACTTCCTGCTGCTTTAATAATGGCATTGATGCAAAATCAGTATTTTTCTTACATCTGTTTTAATATACAGCTACCAACAGCCATGCGAGTTTTATGTTTATAACAAAATGTGCAAAATTTTGAATACAAACATTTATGAGTCTGGTAGTTAAAACAATAACTTTTTCAAGAGTATAAGGTGTTATTGAAAGACTAGGGATTTCATAAGTAATTGTTAAGCGAATATATGCTAGTTTTGCTGAAAGTAAAATTTCACACTCACAGCTGTCTAAATATTCAGGTTTTTTTTTTTTTGACAAAAAGGATGTGCGTAAGCAGTTCTGTCTTTCTTATTTATGAGCCACCATCTTTGGTGCTGAGAACGGAATGTGGACATTGAAGATTCTAGATCTGATTTCTGATATAATTGTCAAATATTCATCCTTCATTTTAACTAGCAGGTAAATGGCATTATTAGTTTACTTGCATTTAAAATTTAAGATCATTGCATTTAAATTGTCTATTTTTGTACCTGCTGGCCTGAATGCAAAGCGTAGGTCACATTGCTTACCAAAACCAGTGTATAATAACGGAGTCACAATTTAGATTTCTGTACAGAATTTAATGCCATACTCTTGTACAGGTTTAACCTTTTTCTCCATGTATAAGGTGCATACACTTTGAAACAATAAATAATCATTTGTATCACTGTCAATGTGAGCTGTGTTTTGGCCTGAGAGTTTTCCCCCTACATTGCCACATCACCCAATCCATCTTATCTTGTCTCATTCATTGTCCTGGTATCTTGTCTAACAATCCTGTTCCATCTTGTTCCATCTTGCTCCCCTCACTTCCTGTTGTCCAATCCCATTCCATCTTGTACCAACTTAATCCACGTGCATCCTCATCTTGTTTGATCTCTTGCTCCCCTTGCATCATCTTGTCCAATCCTGTTCCATCTTGTTTCATCTTGCTCCCCTTGCATCATCTTGTCCAATCCCGTTCCATCTTGTTTTATCTCTTGCTCCCCTTGCATCATCTTGTCCAATCCCGTTCCATCTTGTTTCATCTTGCTCCCCTTGCATCATCTTGTCTAATCCTGTTCCATCTTGTTTCATCTTGCTCCCCTTGCATCATCTTATCCAATCCCGTTCCATCTTGTTTCATCTTGCTCCCCTTGCATCATCTTGTCTAATCCCATTCCATCTTGTTTCATCACTTGCTCCCCATGCATCATCTTGTCTAATCCTGTTCCATCTTGTTTTATCTCTTGCTCCCCTTGCATCATCTTGTCTAATCCTGTTCCATCTTGTTTCATCTTGCTCCCCTTGCATCATCTTGTCCAGTCCCGTTCCATCTTGTTTTATCTCTTGCTCCCCTTGCATCATCTTGTCTAATCCCGTTCCATCCTGTTTCATCTTGCTCCCCTTGCATCATCTTGTCTAATCCCGTTCCATCTTGTTTCATCACTTGCTCCCCTTGCATCATCTTGTCCAATCCCGTTCCATCTTGTTTCATCTCTTGCTGACGTCTCTTGCAGACGTCCTTTTAAAGAAAAATATACTGCAATCAGTGCATTTGTTAACATTTAGTGGCACATTTGAGGACTATAAGGCCAAAGAACGTACATGTATAGTGCTGCGCATTAGCACACCCCCCTACTTTGTGTCCCTTGCTAAGAAGTCTCATTGAAGAGAAAACTTGAAAACCGTCTACAGTCGAACCTCGTTAACAAGACTCTGCTTACAACAAGAAAAATTGTAGGTCCCAATCCTTTCTTTTTTCATTATTTTCATTCCTGATAATATAAGGTTACTGTTATAACAAGGTAATTTGCCAAGTCCGAAGGACCTCTTATTAACGAGGTTTGACTGTAAATGGTTATCAGTGAATCCATGTCCCTCTCCCAGGAAATGGATAACCCCACCCCCTTAAAAGTCCATGTTGACAGTGATTTAATTTTTTCCTCGCCTTTTTTAACTTCGACCCCGACTAGACTCTGCATTGAGTGCTCGTAGAGCAGCATGACAACAATCCATTTTGAATCTCGAGAGGTCGAATGTCGAGGGACAAGGTTGACGACATAAAATCACTAGGCCTTGTCACGCTGCGCTACGTGATTCGATTGTACATGTACATGTACTATGTACGTAGGTCAACTCGGTAAGGGGCGAGTTGGTCAGGGGGCGAGTTGACCTGACAATATGTAGATATACATGTACATGTATATGTATGCACAGTGCATTAGTGCGCTGCTGGTCTGTCCCATGCTCGAACGTTCAAGTTGTTGATAACTTCTACTACGGCCGTAATGTCCGTCGTTATGACTTAATATGTCGATTGCCTGCGTTCTACCACGCATGTCATGTTTTAACATTGATCTTGAACCTCTGACCAGTCGAGCTACAAAAATACATCACCTAATTGTGCGGTTTACACGTAAGTATGAATGGTGTAAATTTGTTGTGTGGAAAGATATCCACCAGGACATAAATGTAACCATGGAGCCACATGTATTAAATTAATGGCTCCATGGTCTAACCATGTGGTCTAACTTACTCTTTTTGTGGTCTGAAAAATACTAAGTCAGTTCTAATTGTTGCAAGTATTTTCTAAGTAAACACTTCAATATTTTATGCCACTTGACTCCCTGTGCACAAACCTACGGGACTGGTCTGAAAAAAAATCAGTGTTTTCTAAGTAATCGACTTGGTTTCTTCCTTCTTAAATGGAACTTTTCGGGATATGTTTTTGCTTTCTGGTGGCTAACAGGTTGGGAATAACTATGCATCAGTACATCAGTACTACACTTGATGCCCCTGTGCACAAACCTAGTGTCTCAAAAAACCTAAGACAAAGTTCTAAGACTAAGTAAACGCTTCGGAATTTTCTCTTCAAAGGCTTAAGTTCACTTTTTAGGGCATGTTATCACTTTCTGATGGCTGCTAGGGGCCTATAGCATTTCAAGGGAAAATTAGTGTTGTCCTTAGGCCTACAGTGTATATGGAACTCATTCCAATTGACTTTTTAGAACATGTTATCACTTTCTCATGGTGAAAAGAATTCGGTATACGGACAACTCTGATTTTTCTGTTAAAATGTTACAAGAGCCATTTGAAAGTTTCAAATGCCCCAACATCAGTCTTCATTTTTACATTGGTTGGATCAAGGAACAGATGGTTGGACCATGTGCATTGTTGAACTATAATTATTAGCTTTGCTTGTCACTTTCACCACGGAAGACTTCAAATCTCATAAGACAAAAGTACATGTGTATTGTGATGTTGATTTATATACTCTTTTTCCAATACAGAGTCTCTGTTTAATGTGAAAGGTGACTCAAGTCTTTCATGTTTGACTCTGGAGATTCCATCCTACTGACGTGCTGAATTCTTCATCACCAGTTTACAACTGAAACACTCACACATAAGATAAATCTTAGACACTTTCTTGACAAATTGACAAAGATTTAAGTTCAATCTTTGGAGGACGATGCATACAAGTGCCAAAGCCTTGCCATGTGATCTGTGTGGAAAAGCTTTCCCATCAAAAACGTCTCTGAGTTGCCATTTGAGGGTCCATACTGGACAGAAACCATTTATTTGTGAAACGTGTGGCAAGGGCTTTGCCCAAAAGGGTGGGCTGGACAGACACCAGAGTGTCCACAGGCCAGTGATCAAGTCGTTCATTTGCGACGTCTGCAGCAAAGCCTTTACCGACAAGCACTGCTTGCAGAGGCACCAGGTGGTCCACACTGGAGAGAAGCGATTCCTGTGCGGCATCTGCGGCAAAGCTTTTGCTGACAGAGGAGGGCTGTACAGTCACCAGCGCACCCACACCGGTGAGAAACCGTTTGCTTGTCAAATGTGCGGCAGGACCTTTGCCCACAGTTGCAATCTGCGCTCTCACGAGAGGCTCCACACCCCGGAGAAGCCGTTTGTCTGTGACGTGTGCAGCAAATCGTTTGCCCTTGAAGAAACTCTGATCAGCCACCAGGCAACCCATACGGTGGAAAAGCCATTCGCCTGTGATGTCTGTAGGCGAACCTTTGCCCAGAAGGGGAACCTGCAAAGTCATAAGAGGACTCACACCGGAGAGAGACCATTTGTTTGCCCTACGTGTGGACAAGCTTTCTCTCAGGGAGGTACTCTGAAGAGGCATCAGAGGCTCCATGCTGCAGAATGAGGGCCACTAAGGAAGAATGTTGGAAAAAATACATGCACTAAGGTCCAACTATGTCATTGACGTGCAATGAAACTTCGTTTTACCGTGGAATACTTCAGTGCTTGTGAAATTGACCAAGAGAATGCTGTGATAGATATCAGTTGACAAGGAATTAGACAGTTTCATCGCTGTTTTAGCTTGCACCTCCGGTTTTCACTTTACAGGAAGTGAAACATGTGGAATATGCCACACTTTTCAGCATGCAGAGGACTTGGGAGACTTTTGAGGCAATACGGGCAATTCACTGTAGTGTGCCTCCAAGAGTTTGCAGCATGTTGTCCAATCACAACGCGCAAAATCTGTCCACCCTTTCCAAACACGCATTGGGTCGACACATTTTGTGCGCTGTGATTGGCCAATGCGTTGCAAACTCTTGGAGGGGCACCATAGTGAATCTCCCACAGTTAGGGTGGCTACTACTTGTGTACACGCTCAAGATGATGTTTTAAATAATAGTAGACTGGTCACTTGCCTCCCGGGTACCAGTACACATGTACGTTTTTACCACCACCAAGCATCTCAGAAGTCGCCCATTGGAAGGGGCATTAAGTATGAAATACTCCATGATGAGGGAAACACAGGTGAGGTGAGCAGTTATCGAAAGGCATTTTATGCTAGCTGTTGGATTCTGTCAGACTCGGCAGGCTTCACATGTCACTGGATACTGTCGAGTTCAACAGGATACCGGTACCTTGAGAAAACCCAAAGGGGGTTAGTGTTCAAAAGCCAAGGTAATTTGCCTCTCAGACTCGTACCTTCAACTCTGAGTTCATTTGGAATGTAACCAAGAGAATTTATCTCAGGTCAGCATACATATTTGGTGTATTTCTTTCTTCCATCGTCTTTAGATTTCAAGTGGTTTAGAAGGTGTAATGAATTTCATTTGTCTTATTGTCAATCTTTCCCTTGAAATGAGAATCTGGTTAACAAGAAAGAGAGAAAATGAAAAATACCAAACGTTCTGAAAAATGTTTAAAACATAAACTTGAACGTCAGTCTTGTGTTGGTAGCATACAAATTATGGATGTTTACGAGTGCATCACTTCTAGTGGCGAGAGTAATTTCATGTGTGACAGAAGAATGTTCCATTCCAAGAAGGAACAAGTGGAATGGAACATTCCATCTGTTACCAAATAAAATTATTGGTGACAGTGGCAGTTGGAATGGACTGGAGATTTCTTTTCTTTGCAAAAACATGAAACATTTTTCCTGCAACCCCTGAATAAATCTCTGTACCAGTTTATTGCTCATTAAAAAAAATCCCAGCCGGAATACAGGGTTCCCGCACCCTGGAAAAAGTCGTGGAAGTTTGTTTTCATTTTCCAGGCCTGGAAAAGTCATGGAATTTTGTACAAATGACTAAAGTCAGGAATTTTACAAACACTGTATGTGATTTCTACTGTCAGAAATAAGTGCATAAAATGCATGATTTTATTCCCAACTTTAAAAGTCCGAATAGTTCAAGAAATTGTGTTATTGGGTTATGGATTTTCATAATTTGGTCACAGAAGAGTAGTAGAATTTAATTGTCCTTCAGATCAGGTGCAGGAACCCTGGAATAGATCCCACTTGCGTGTACATGTACATTGTACATGTGACTCTGCAGTGAAACTTCCGCTTACTGTGAAATGGAACTTGCGGCATGCCATGCTTTGGGATAATTTAATCATGTGATCAATTGACCACCTATTAGATGACAGGGATTTACACAGGCTTTGGGTAATTTCTGATTTATTACCGTAGATCAGTGATAATGGTCATTACAGTTGGGAACATCTCGTATTTGAAGAATCAATGTAAGTGAAAATGTGGAATTGCAGTGCAGTTTGCAAAAATGGCTTTTTCAGTGCTGAGGTTGGGGCTAACAAGTCCCAACGCATGCATCCTTTTGTGGTGATCTTGATTTCATGAATATCAACAACTGAAAACTGGGGTTACGACGTGGCGAGGGGTCTGAATATGTACATGTACTTAACTATTTGTCCACATCTGCACTATGTTGACATGCATACAACCTTTTGCATTGACAGGGAAAGTATGCACACTGTTGTGGAAAAGTTCCGTATCCCACCTGCTGTTTTGCTGGAGTAATTGCATACATGCAAGAGTTATGTGGAGGTGGACAAAGTCAGTAGAAATGAGAATGTTTTCAGCAATTTATTCATTGGTTTATTCCAAAATTAGCAGATAACTTCCAAAACAAGATTTTTTTATATTGTATACATGTACCTATTGTTAGCTTTAAATTGACCTTGAATGTTGCGTTTTATGAGTACATGATGTAGAAATTACTGGGTTTCTATAATTCACTTATTTCTAAATTGATACGGTGCCGCCCATTCTTTTATGATTAAAATGATCACTGCCAGTTGTGGTCTTGCCAGTTGTCAAATTGAAATGCTTCTCTGACATAAAATGTGACGATGATTTCCATTGACTTTGGGTCGATGTGTTTTTTAAGACTGAAAAAGAGGGAAGTAGGGAAGATTTCTGACATGGAAATACCTAAAGATGATGTCGGTGGATGGCGTGGAACAATGACTCTGTTCCGTTGCATATTTTATGACAGAGCTTCTAAATTTTGTGCTGGCTGAATTCAAGTAGATACACCCGAGATCCAAGGCTGGGTAGTCTGTCAGATCACACAGAACTTTTTTGAAAGAATTGAAAATGCTAAAACTTTTGAAATGGTACTTTCCCGGGAGGGGAGGGTAGGCGGTGGGTAATTTTCAGGGATGAAAAACTTGGACTGTCATTTTTAGAGTAAAAAAAATTGCAGAAACAGTGAAGTTAAATTAACATTAAGTTAATTTGTAGAAAACAATGTTTTTCCCCTCTCTTTTGCTTGCTAAATTTACATTGGACATTGGTATTTTGTTCCTCAAACCCAATTAAGCTGGCTTTCTCAACCTATTAATTTCATTTCAAAAAAAGTAGTTCCGCCCCAATTTTTATCTCCTTCACAGTTTTTTTTTCTTCCACTCCACAATCAGCTAATTTATTTGAACCCCACAAGCAAAACGATAGGTGGAAATGGAAAGCTGATAGTTTACAACTATAAATGTGCAGGATTGCAGTAACACTAACAGTAGCCACTTCGATCTTCAATATTCATTGGTTAGCTCACTAAAACTGAAAAGAAAAATTAAAAATGAGGAAATGAGCTTCAATTTGTATTTTTACAGATTTTTTGAAGTGGGAGTCTGTCAATATCCCCATACTAGGGCCACTCTATAATATACTGTAAACACGTCATGGTACTTGGGTGGGTTGGGCCACCACTCTTTCCTGCATGGTTCGGCCGGCTGGCAAACGGCGCGCTAACTCTACTCACTGTATGTACTACGACGCGTATTCGGCGGAAGCGGCTGCTGTATGTGTAGAGGGCGCTTTTCAAAAGTATAATTTCAAGCAGCTGTTGTCTACCTAGTACCTAGCTCAGTATACATGAACAGTGCACGACGCGTCGTGTACATATGTACACTGTACATGTACATGTAAATGAAAACAACTTCTTAGATAAAAACGCGGCTACGTGTTTACGTCCCTGCTCTGGCACTGTCTAGTATTCATTTTAACGCCCGAGGCCTCTTCCAGTCATAGTTGTGGCTAGCAAACCCATGGCAAATGCGTAAGTACCCAAGGCAGTTTAATTTGGCATTCTGAGAAATTTGATACAGTTTTTTTCACATCTTTTGTAACAAAAAAAAAAAGCAAACTAAAACTGAAAAAAAACTAACGTTAGACCTATCATGCCTATTGATGAGTATTGTGGATGAATTTTCTAAGTAAATGGTTCGGAATTTTTTTAGCTAAATTTTACTTTTTAGGACATAGGCTATGTTATTACATTCTGACAGTCGTTACAACATTTAAGGGAAAATTAGTGTTGTCCGCATATGGAACTCTTTCCCTGAAGTTTACTGTACCTGTGTACAGTACTGTAGCCCTATGTCGGATCAGCAATTAGCAGTAAAGTTATGGCTGATTGCTGTCCATAAAGGGCTACAATGTAACCTTGGGGGAAAGGACGTACATTATGATGTATAATCATGGAGGAAGGACACAAACCATGGTATAATCTGTGCTTTGTTTTGTGTTATTGGATGCTCCGTGCCCATATACATGTAGACCTTCTCCTGTTACTAAGATGATAGGTGATGATGGATGCCTGATTTGATTTGTATTTTAAAATTGTGCAAGCTTAGCATATTATGTGTCCAACTTTGAGACTTCATCACTGTCAACACTGAGTTGCAGTTCCTAGCTGATAGCTTAATCTTTCTTGTTTATCTTCATAAACAGAGCATCTTTTGGCAGAAGTACACCAGCCAACTACTTCTTTATTTGTTGAAGCTGAAGATTCCGTTGTGACCAAGGTGGAGTTGAGGAGGTAACATACAACACTGTACTGACACTCTACTCCTAAGAGCAATTGCAAAATGTGGTGGGAAAATTATGGTCTGTGCATGTGTCATGTATTTGACTAAATAGGAGCTGAGCGTGTGAGGTATTATGGCTTTTATTTTTGATAAGCTAAGGAAGTTTTCTCCCGGAGTCGAGGCCTACTGAAGTGTGAGTGTATCACAGAGGCTGTCATGTAAGGAAAAGACTTCCATATGAGTTGCCTATTCGAATTCTACCCTGAATTGTAAACTGTGTGTACTGACACAAAGAGCGCCCTCACTTGAAATATGTTCACATATAATTGTGGAGGTCTTTTAAAAAGATATCATTAGTAATTATAAATAATTACCTGTACAGTTGACTAACTTGATGTTGACAATTCTTGTGGAAATATTTTTTTCCAAAAAAGTGCAGTGTTCCCAATTTATTTACACCAGGATCCATATTACTGATCATCAAAACAAATTTCGAACCACAAGTTTCTGATCCGATACCCTATCTTGTTCACCTTTGGGGAAGGCTGTTTTGAAAGGGAGTTGGAAAAATCTGATATTTTCTGTAAGAATGGTTGATGGTGCAGTGCAGGAGCGATTGTGCAAATTGATTGGTCACAGCCGGCATGTGCAGAGTATGTGGGAATCAACATGCAGGCGACAACTGGAGTGAAACTATTTTCAATCAGTTTTGATACACGTCTGTTTACTGTAAAAAATGGAGTGGAACAAAAATTACATTGTACACAAGACTGATGATATCAAAATTGAAATAGTTTTTTTGTGTGTTCAAAGTGAACGCTTTCTCTTAATTTCATTGTCCAACAAGTGTTGGACAATGGCATTGCTGGGGGTGTGCTTTGGGGGTGCATACTGCCTCAAAAAAATCCCCCAACT